GCGGACTTACAATGCTAGAATCCGGGTTTCGATACCCGTGGTGGGCAGAGCACAGATAGCCCATTGTGTAGCTTTGTGCTTAATTACAAACAAACAAGCAAACTTTGTGGAAGTATTTTTTTAGTGTTAATTAGAATTTTTAGATAGCTTTTGTTCAGAAGTTTTCACGATTTAAACATTTACTTTCACTTAACAATTAATACCCCCCCCTCCAGTCGAACAGCGGAATGTCTGCGGACTTACAATGCTAGAATCCGGGTTTCGATACCCGTGGTGGGCAGAGCACAGATAGCCCATTGTGTAGTTTTATGCTTAATTACAAACAAACAAGCAAACTTTATGGAAGTATTTTTTTAGTTTAATTAGAATTTTTAGATAGCTTTTGTTCAGAAGTTTTTCACGATTTAAACGTTTACTTTCACTTAACAATCAATACCCCCCCGGTCGAACAGCGGAATGTCTGCGGACTTACAATGCTAGAAGCCGGGTTTCGATACCCGTGGTGGGCAGAGCACAGATAGCCCATTGTGTAGCTTTGTGCTTAATTACAAACAAACAAAACATTTAATAATTTATGAATCAGAATCGTAACTTATGTAACTAAAGGGGAGAAAGGGAGTTTATAAAGGAAATGATTAAATCATTAATCATAATTAATTATAAAATTTATAATTATAAAAAAATAAAGACGTGCGACTAAAATAGTAATTATTATTCAAGTTTAAAATTTTGATATTATGTGAGATTGTTAATACGTAAAAATGACAAAATTTATGACAAACATATTACGTAACAAAGTAATTGATAATAATAATATGAATTTTACATTTCATAGACTATAATCAAGTGTGTCTAATGTCAACAGTAGTTTCGGTAATATCCTAAAACATGAAAAGTTAAGAGAATTGGTATCCTAATGTATTCAAATTAAAACTAAAAATAGTTACAAAAATAGTAACTATTTCGTAATACTCCTTCAAAGTGACATTCTCTCAGCAGTTATTAATACAGTATAAAGTCACCGTTGTTACCACGAGCCTGTAAAATATTCCTTACAACAGAGTTCCAGTCTGAAACTGCTGAATTCAACGTATGACCAGGAGTCTGAAACTGCTGAATTCAACGTATGACTAGAAGTCTGAAACTGCTGAATTCAACGTATGACTAGGAGTCTGAAACTGCTGAATTCAACGTATGACTAGGAGTCTGAAACTGCTGAATTCAACGTATGACTAGGAGTCTGAAACTGCTGAATTCAACGTATGACTAGGCGTTGGTGTAGCGAAACAATCCCACGTTACGAATGTTTTCCGCAAAACACATCAGAATTATACATAAGCCTAAGATATAAGTATCGTTGATTAAATACCTTTATTTCAAACAAACGATCACAAAACAAACAACCTTGTTCATTGTCAATACCAAGAACAACATAAGCAATCTGCAATTGTTCAACAGTGGTCGAAGAAACACTTTCGTCGGGTTACTGTGTAATAAATAACCTTGAATGTCATTTAACCGTTGCAGCGATAACTGGTTCGTAAGTGCTTGGTCAAAATATTGTCTGATGTCTTAATTACTTTGCGTATGCATCGCCTAATCAACAACGAAATGAAACAGAACCAACACATTAACATTTTAAATGCTCTGCAATAGAAATTAAGTATACAAGAGCGGCAGAGACTGGTGGTGTTATCGCAGACTGACCACGCTACTCCAGTGATATCACACACTCAGTAAGTCTTAGAACATCGATACAGAACAAAAACTTGCTGTGGTTTTTTTCTTTCTCGTAGTGCCAGGCAGGGATCGACTAAGGAGCTGTTGGTGGGTGTTGAAGGAAATATGAGATGAGAACGTAGTATTCATTCCGTACCAGTGTGTACCAAAATTATAGTTGAAGGCTGTTTGATTGTCGTTACAAAAATGTGAACTAGTCAGATATGTTATCATCTCTCAAGTTGCACACTTGTGACTCTCAATAAGGCATGATAGTAGCGACTTATGTATGGCTTCTATACGGGATGGCAAGATAAGCTGGCTAGTTTTATCACCTTAAGCTCTCAAAAAATCAAACAATAATCCTTTAGGAATGGAAGAAAAAATATTATTGTAATGCATAGAAAACCCGATCATGAAAGATAAACAAAGACAAAAAGATATACTATCCTATAGGCTTGTTTAAAGCAGACGCAAAGATAGCTATGCAGTTAGTAAGACATGAAGAGTTGTTGACATTATATCCTTTAGAGTCATAGTTTATGGAAAAAAACCTCAGCATAAGTTGGGTGTTTGTTTGAAGTTAGGCACAAAGCCACACAATGCGTTGTAAGTCCGCAAACATACCGCTGTGTCACTGAGGGTCGAACTCAGCCTAACCTAATTTTATGGTTACTGTTTGACAGTAAAACTGTGTTATCGCAATGCCGAAGGCTAACGTAGTCTTATTAAAGAAAAAGCTGCGTAATGATATATCTCTGCTGTACCAGTCGCGAGTATCGAAACCCGATTTTTAACGTTATAAGCCCTCAAACATACCGATGAGCCACCGAGAGCAAAGCTGAGGGCTCCTTAAAACGTAAATAAGAATAAAAAGAAGAAAGGTGGAAATGTTTTATCTTATAAATTTCTTAATTATTAAAAGCAGTAACAAACTTTAATTATAATATAGCAATAGGTTTGGCAAATATTGGAGGTTCATAGAAGTACTTAAAACAGTGGTCGAATAAAGTCAGGCTTTGTCGCCAACATGCTTATCTGTGGGTTAAAAAATAGCGGTATAACAGTTATACGGTCGAAACTAAAGTTATACTGTTGCAAAACACCTATTTCCTCCTCTTAGGCCAAGTGATCAGGGCGCTTGACTCACAATCTGAGGTCGCAGGTTCGAATCTCCGTTCCACTAAACATACTCGCCCTTTCAGCCGAAAGGGTATGATAATGTGATGGTCAATCCCACTATTCGTTGGTAAAAGAGTAGCCCAAGAGTAGGCAGCGAAAAATATTTCAAATTGGGGGTCATCTTATTTATTGGAGAGGACCTTATTTGCTACGTTAACCGAGATCATTGTTCTTCTTGGAGATACGCATTAAGAATGTTTCATTTCTCACGCTCTACGATTTAATGTATCTTCTTCATTACTTGATTTGAAATTAAAGCTAAATAAAATGTAACAAAACTGTTCTTAACTAAAAATTAATTATATTCTAGCGACCCGGCATGGCTAGGTGGTTAGGGCGCTCGACTAGCAATCTGAGGGTCGCGGGTTCGAATCCCCTTTCAGCCGTGGGGGCGTTATAATGTGACTCCCACTATTCGTTGGTAAAAGAGTAGCCCAAGAGTTGATGGTGGGTGAGGATGATTAGCTGCCTTCCCTCTAGTCTTACATTGCTAAATTAGGGACGGCTAGCGCAGATAGCCCTCGTGTAGCTTTGCGCGAAATTCATAACAAACAAACATATTCTAGCGTTTCCCAAATTGAGGGTGAGGATGATTAGCTGCCTTCCCTCTAGTCTTACACTGCTAAATTAGGGACGGCTAGCGCAGATAGCCCTCGTGTAGCTTTGCGCGAAATTCATAACAAACAAACATATTCTAGCGTTTCCCAAATTGTGCGGCGCGGCTCCCCAGTGAAGTGCAAATTACATAATTTTCTACTGAATTAAGTAGACTTTTAAGTCTCTCATATCTGAATATTAATTGTCGATCCAATCTAATTAAGCCCGGCATGGCCAGGTAGTTAGGGCGCTTGACTCGCAATATGAGGGTCGCGTGTTCGAATCCCTGTCCCACTAAAACATGCTCGCCCTTTCAACTGTGGGGCGTTATTATGTGATTCTCAA